CTAGCAATAAGCCCTGTTTTGACATTCCGGCCGGCGGTGTTGAACCATTCCGATGTATGGCGGGAACCAACATATCGCTTCTCTAACCAAACCTGAATAATTCCACTTGAAATAAGCAACAGATACTTTTGCAGAAAAGTGGAGTAATTGCAAGAGACAAGAGAGGAATGTTTACGAGGAAGGAAGTGAAGACGGCGAAGAAGGCACCAAAGCCGAGAATAACAGAGTAACCGACGCCTTGATTGAGCACCGGTTTACCCTCAAAGAAGTTGCTCTGCCGGACACAGCCGCTGCCGCCATCTGAAACATGGTAATACTTTGCAGAAAAGTCAAAGGGAGGACACGAACCCATATCTTCCTTCCTCCTGCTTTCTTCTCCTGTTTCTCCCCTCCCACCTTCAGTTTTTGTGGTACACTGATATATCACTCCTCATAAGCACATTTCAATTACGGACACTCACACTCCTAATCCTTACTTAAAGTCAAAGAGCAGTGCTAAAAGTCAAAAAAAGCGCGCATAACCACAAAAATAAAAATAAAAATAACAAAAATAAAAATAAAATTAAATAAATATTGTCGTAAGCACATTCAAATTCAATTCCCGAGTCCTACCCTCTTAATATTTTTTTATTAATGTTTTGATATTTTATAATCAAGATAAATATCAATTAATTTAAAATTAAATCATATTAAATTTATAAAAAAACTCTTTTAATATTTATTTATTTATTTATAAAATTATACTTTTAAGTCTTAATTCTAGTTAAAGTGAAATAAAAAAGCTTTTTATATAAATGTTGTTAATCACTGGAAGTTTTTTGAAAAATAGTGTTGTAAATGATAATAAAAAAAATTAAATTACTTTTATAACCTTAATGAATAACACTAAAAAAAATAATAGTGTTATATTAATGTGAAATTGTTACCTTGATATTGTTAATATTTGGATGAGTTTTATGAGATTTTAGTTAATTTTATATAATTTTTATTGTTTGTGTAGTAAAAGATTTAATTGAAACTAATCATAATTTTTAGGAGTAATTTGTAAAGATCAGAAACTTGAGGATCAACTTGTATAGAATCTAGAAGTCAGGGACCAAGACTGTTATTTTACCATTACAAAAATTGCTAAGAAGGCCAAAAAACTGACACGGTGATGGCATTGTGCGCTGAACAAAAAGTGTCGGTACCTTGTTGAAGGTATTGACCCTTACAGGATTTTCACAAAATCCGTGTTTAATTGGTTGTTATGGGTGTGGGTCTCATTTTTAATCCAATTAGAATTTTTAAAATCTTATAAATACCTTCCAAATTTAGAATTAAGAAAGCGGAAGGAGGTTGGTGGCAGCCCTCTTTTGGGTGTTATTGGAGATCAAAATAAAGGTTTCATCAGTAATAGAAGATCAAGGAGTTCAATTTTCTCAAATTAGATTTTGTTTTTCTTTTAATTATGTTTATCTATTATTTGACATTCGAATGTTCATAACTATAATTTCAGATTTTATTATTTTTATTATGAACTAATTTATTCTATTAAGGTTACGATGTAGTCTAATCAATTCAATATAGATTTTGTGATTTTATGTTTTCAATTAAAATTATTCGCATGAGGAGTTTATATTATTGAATTTAATGCACTGGAAGCCTGATCACCTTTCAATTGATTTAGTGATTTATGCATGAACTTGAGAAAGAACTGCGTAAATTAGACTAATAATAATATAAATTATGTGCTAGACTATGAGACCGAGAAGCACTTAGCTCACATGTGGTAGTGGAAGAAAAGAAGAGAGTTAGGAGCTCCCCCTTCTTAAGCTAGAGGTTTCCATATAATTTTCTTTTATTTTTTTACTTTGAGTTTTTTCGTTTCTTTTGTTTTTGTTTTTGTAGGGCTAACTATGGATCGAGTTCTCTTAAACACTTATATGAATTATCAATGGCTTGCACCGAAGATAAGGGCACAAGTTGAAGCAATAAGTATCAATTGGGATGCAAAAATTGACGATGATGAACTTGAACGATTTCAAACAGTCATCGAAAGGCAGAAATTAAAGAAGGCTTTAATAGAACGATTAAATGTCACTTGTCAATGGTGTGGATTCAACCATTTTAGTTCTGATTACTTATTTAAACGATATAACAAGTGTGTTGATTTTTCTTGTGAGTTTTATAGTCAACAGTATAATTCTTATTCCAATACATACAACTCTGATTGGATAAATTATTCAAACTCCTCATGGAATAATGAAGATATATTGGAGCCACAATCAAGGTTTCAAGATCAAGAAGAGGAGACATGTTTGGATAAAAATTTGGAGGTCCAATCAAGTAATTTGCTCAACTTAGTTTTTTAAGTGAAGGAACAGAAACGAACTTGGATATCTTGCATTTTCAATTAGGTTCTGTATTTGCTGGCTTCTTGACTGATTGTGGAATTGTAACTTTCTTCATGCATCCATGGAGAAACAGACTATGCTTGTCGCTCTGATGCTTCTTCTTTCTTGGCCTTCTCTTTCTCAAGCAAATACATCCTCTCTGCTTCGGGGATTGCAAGAATGATACTGTTGAGCTTGAAATTTAGCTCCTCAACCTTTTCCATGAGCCTGTCATTTGTGAACATACCCAGACAGACATCGTTTATTATCTCCCAGCTTTCAACCAACGGTAAAGCAATAATCACCGCTGATCCAATGGTTCCCCAAGCTACAGAAATAACAGCCCAGAAAGTGAAATACCCCAAATTGAACTCCCCTGCATAAGAGAAAAGGTAAAATATCAGTAGAAAGTTCAGGAACACGAATCATTTTGTAACAGAAGTTTCTAGAAAGAATTTTACCCGCAGGAAGAGTAAGAAGAGGCCATAATATTACAATCAAGATTGTAAACCCAAGACCCCATTTTATAATCCATGTTCTAGCTTTCCTCAACTTTTCCTCCCTGAATTCTCCTGCAGGGAGGTCAGCCTTGTCCTTTTCCACCATAGTAATCTGCTTTGTTGTGTCCCAGTCATAGTTCTG